GCCCCGCCGGCGCTTCCTCTTCCCCCTCCGTGTGCCCCGCCGCCGGCTTCGCCCAGGGGCGCTGGGCGAGAAGAGCTGGGGGCGCCGCCTGCGAGTCAGAGGCGGGAGCCGGGTGCCCCGGTGCAGGCAGGCGGGCCGGGCCGTCCTGGGGGCCTCGGCCCCAAGTAGGAAACCGTTTCACGCTGCGGGACGGGGGCGACCCGAGCCCTGCCCGCCCCCGAGCCCCCTCCTCCGCAGTGCCCAGTGAAGACGGCTCGGCGCGGTCTGTCCCCCTAGGCCTTACGGCCCCGTTCCCGGAGCTGGTGCTGAGCGCAGCTCAGGCCGGAGCACCAGCCAGGCAGCCGCAGATTCAAAGCGTGCCAGCGCCCCATTTTCTGGGAGTCAGCCTTTGAGTGTCACTTTTGGGGATTCTCTTGAAAGAATTTCAAAACCCCGCGTGCTCCCTTGCTCATTTTTAGGTTGCTATTGAACTTTTTCGTCATAATTATAAATGATTACAAAGGATACAATTTCTAGCTTATCATAAATATTAATATTTAATACAAAGCTATTAAAAAGTGAGTATATAATTCACTCTTCAGATATAGCCTATGGAATATGCCATCCTAATGTAATACCTGCTACATCCAACTTTTAAAAAACGAGTAGCCAAAAAGGTCTTAGTACTCACATACTTACTTTACTCCTGTTTCCCTGGAACTATACATTTCCATTGCCTTTCCCCACAGAACTTCAGCCTAATCTAATTTTATTTTGCATGCTCCAAACTCTTATTTATTATCTTACGATTTATCTGGCAGAAAGATGGTATGTGAGTTAGAGTTATTTTAAATTTCCCGTGAGCATAAAACCAAATTAAGTTTTCTCTTGGAATAAATTATCAAAAATAATCATTAGTAGTACCACTTCATCGGAAACAGCACAAGTACATCATGTTCTAGTACACATAACGTGTATACGTGCAGGCGATCTTACCGGGACGGCATGTCGGTTAGATGCGCGTGACTGCCCCTCTTCAGTTAGCTAATGACTGTTAATGAACGTTACCTCCTGCCAGACGGAGACAGGATTCGGCTTAAATTCCACTCCTGTTTATCACTTTATAGAGGAAGAGGTTGGGAAATCACGCTTATATATAAAGTTAATAAAACCGGATGCCATGGAATGATTTGAACTGCATCCAAGTTATTTGCCAAAAACCTTCAGGTGATCTGCTGACCATTACTTCTCAGGCTGAGCTCCTAGATCATTGCCTGCCTACCGTGCCAAAAGCCCTGCGTTTGCTTTTCAGCACGGGCGTGCATGCATGCGTGTATTACTGGCTGACAGTTCAGCTGGGTTGCACTCACTCTTGTTGAAAGACTTGGACCTGCCTGACTTGCAAATGGCTTGGTTGCCCTGTCTTCGGCTGTATGCTTTCCCTCACTTACACCATGGCTCAAATGGTCCTGCTTCGCGCCCTTAGGATACTTTGACCTTGCCCAAAACACCCTCACAGGACTTGGGACCGGCCAGAGGCCTCCTTTCTCCCTAACGGGAGGAGGGCGGTTATGCACAGGCAAGCAGACCGCAGGTACTCACACGCAAGTAGCGGCAAGGCTGGTTACACGAAGGCTGGAAAACGGTTTCTTTAAGCCCCCTCATCCTCAGCCTTTGCTCCTCTGTTTGAAGACCGCTATGTAAAGTAACCAGAGGCAGCCAGGCAGGGTCAGGTGTGACTGTCACTGACCAGTGTGCTGCTGCCTGCTGTGCGATCAAGGGCACATTTCTGGGCCTCTCTGGGCCTTGGTTACTCATCTCAGAAGGGGTGACACTAACCGTGCCTTGCTCACGGGGCGCTGCTGGGGGAACTGAGACAGTGCTCGGCTTGGGGCTGGCATCTGGGTACGTGCTGTGTGAGGCGCAGCCCCGCTGCTCCTTGGCCTGGGTGCAAGCAGGGTTCCACAAGCGCTCCTCCCTCCTGTGCTCCCTGCCGGGCTTTCCCTCCCCTCCCCACCCGCTAAGGCGGGGACCCCGCGCTCCACAGCGCACTGACGCCCCGGCCTTGTCTGTGTTTGCTCTCCGGCAGGTGCGGCGATAGTGTTCCCTAGAGGTAACCGGCCCTTCAGAGGAGAGACCCCACACCCAGCTCGCATATTTATTGCCGTCACGCTCTCGGTGACCTCCCTGCTGGCACCCTCCCTCTATTTATTAGCCACCGGCGCCCTGCTGAATGACTCGCCCCTCACAGACGAGGCGCAAGGAGGGGCAGGACCCTCAGGGCTTCAGTGCCTTACACAGACGTGAGAGAAGGAAAGAAGCCACGCACAGACCCGTGGGAGCTTCGGCTTGGGAAGAAACAGGACGTGACCTTTGAGGGGCCGCCAGGCCCCAGAAGCCCCAGGTCGCAGGGGACCCGAGAAGAAAAGGGGGCCCCCGAGGGCTCCTGGCCCGCGGGTTCTGTGCCGCCGGCAGCTTTTGTCCCGGCCGCACTGGCCCCAGGCGGATGCAGGTGCCTGCTCTTGCCACCGCGTCCCTGGCGGGGTGGGCGGGCAGGCGGCCGGTGGAGGGGATCCGGCCTCGTCCTCTCCCTGGCAGGGGCTGCTTGCCCTGGAGACTGGGGCGTTCAGCTGAGAACAGCACTTGCCTGGAGCCTTTTGCCCCTCCTTCCCCTCTTAAGTCACTCCTCACGTTTTGCCTCTGGCTTATTCTGGGACTTGGTTTTTTTTCCAGCCAAGGTGCCATGACCCCGCCTCCTCTTGGGGACACAGGGTTAGGGTTGGCCGGGGGCTGGGCGAACGCAGGATGGAGGAGGAGCCCTGCCATGGGGATGCGTGGGGATGCGGTCACTGGGAGAGGGACCCGTGTGCCTTAGGCCAGCAGCTGTGGAAAGTGGAGCAGACCCTGAGGGCCCCTGTGCCCCACCAGCTGCCCCTGAAGGGCCACTGACTGCCAAGCCAGATTCTCTTGAATAAAGCATTCTAGTCTGGAAACAGCTGGTCCGGGGGAGTGTGTATGCCAGAGGAGTGGGACAAAGGGGGTAAGGGGGCGCCAGGAGCACAGTGCCGCTGCTGTACCTGTTTCATCTTAAAAATCCTGCTCAGGCTTTGAGAAAGCACATCTCAGTTTGTGACAGCACATCAGCTTTCTCCTTCCCTCCCCCTTCTGACAGCCGTCTTAGTCGTCTTTCGGTTGCTGAGACGACACCGAGCACCCGCACTTAAAGGAGGAGAGGCTTCTTTTGCTCACGGTTTCAGGAGTTTCTGTCCGTGGTTGGCAAGTTCACGTGTAGGAACAGTGTGGTGGAGGGGCCTGCCGGGGTGGGCGTTGTTCACGGCCTGGTGTCCAGAAAGCAGAGGGGGAGGGAGAGCTGGGACAGGAACACACCTTCCGGGTCACGCCCGTGACCCCCTCCTCCGTCCAGGCCCCGCCCAGCCAATGAACGGGGCAGTGGACAGCCCACTCACGGGTACAGCACCGCCATGCTGCAGCCACCTGCCCAAAGCTCCGCCTGTGACTGCACGACAGTTTAGGGAGACAGTCTACATCCAGCTGCAACACTCTGCCCATGGCCCCAGTAAAGATTCTCTATGCAAAATGTATGCAAAGAGTCACCAAAGTTTTAATAGTTCCAACATTGCTAGAATGTTCACGCCCAAAGTCTCCTCTGAATTCAAGGTAAACTCTTAGCTGTGAGACCCTTAAAAGTAAAAAAGAAAGTTAAACACTGCCAAGGTGATGGCACCAGATAAACAGTCCCGTTCCAGAAGGGAGCTGTAGGGAAAGAAAAAGCAATGGGGCCAAAGCAAGACGTTAGGCTGCCTTAAAACTTCCTCTGCCAGATTAATTAGTCTGCTGCCCTTCACCTCACATTCTCACAGTGTCTCAGGACATGGGCAAAATGTAGACAAATCTACAAGAATGTAGGACACATGGTCCCAAAGGAGCCCTTGTTCCCAACAGAAACATCCTGGGCCTGACTTTAACTATCTGCATTTGTATCAGGACTCTGGTCTTTAAAACTCTGACCAGAATCTCCCGTCAGGCTCAGTGTCTTCGCCACAGCATTTCTTAACCTTTCCAAACTTCCTTAAACCAGTCACAAGGGCACTGAACCACGCAGTCAGGAAGTCACACAACGACCCCACTCCTGGTAGCGAAGTCTGACTCAGTCACTTTCTGTCACTGAGACACAACACCTGAGACTTACAATTAGAGGAAGAGCAGCTTGTTTGGGCTCACAGTTCCAGAAGTTTCTGCTATGGTGTGGAGCCAAGCATGGTGGCCAGGAAGCAGAGACACAGGGAGCCAACGACAGGAACAGGGCCTTGCAGCGACTAACCTCTTCTGACCAAATCGCGCCTCCCAGCAGCATCCTCACCACTGAACTCACTGGATGGATCCACTGAGTACAGCGCCAGGGGATCCCGCCATCCTCCAAAGGCCCCGCCTCTGAGGGTGTGAGAGTCCTGTGGGATGTTTCAGATCCAACCACACTCCCACGTGAGGGAACTGAGACCCAAGAAGGCAAAGTGATGGGAAGTCAGAAGAGCACTGAAGCAGGCGTCAGGAGCCAGGGCCTTTTCTCTAACTCACCAAGTGACGCTGGGTTTTCCTCCGCCTTCATGATGTTATCTCTAACCTGAGATGGTGTTGCCGGCTTTCACACATTCTGACAGGGCTCCCGGCTCCGGACTCAGCGGCCGTCGTGGTCGTGGAGACTTTCTATACAGACCATGCCAGGGCTGCCCTGGGGTTCCTAAGCCCTGCTTCTGCAGCACCCTGGGTCCCACCTTCCCCTAATGAGGACCTCCAAGGAGTACTTTCGGGCACTGAGAAGCTAGTGTGGAATCAAGCTCCCAGACATAGTCTAAAATTGGGGACAGGCCTGGCCCCAGCCGTCTGACACCATCAAACTCAGGAACACAGTTCCCCTGCCCCAGGCTGCGCGCGCGCGCATGTGTGTGTGTGTGTGTGTGTGTGTGAGTGCGTGTGTGACACACACACACTCACACACACAGCCCAGCACCCAGGCCCTCTGGACCTCAAGGCAGTGGGGCCCCCAGACTCCTCACTCCCTCAGAGTGGGGAGCCAAGCTTCAGTGTCTCCTCCTGCTTGGGTCTGCTGCTGGTTACCTCCTTTTCACTCCCAGATTCCTCTGCCTTTCTTATTAACATCTTAGTGTGAAGAAAAGGAAAAAGTGATTTTTTCTTGTCCAAGACGCTTTTGACCTGTAAGGTATGTGGGTCCTTTTATGTTGCGTGGGGGTGGGAGCGGCCTCTGCTTCCTCATTTGAGGCTGAAGCCCACAGAGACCGGGTGACTGGCTGGGGTCCACCTGGGGCTGTGGAGCAAGGCGGCAGGTGGACCCGTGGGATGGGGAGGCCCGGCTCAGGCAGCTGCCCTTGGCTGTGGGTTCACCGCGGCCGGGGCCCCTGGAGGCCACTCCGGTCAGAATGTGCTCCTGGCGGCCGATCAGAGAGAGGGTGTGGGTCGGCCCCGGGGGACACACTTAGCAAGGGAAAGGCACTTCTCTGCTTCCCCTCTTGGCTGCAGCTGCTCTGAGCAGTTTGCCTTTGACCGAGGCTGAGGGGAGCAGCCCTCCCTTCGGCCAGGCCTCTGGCACAGCCCTGCGGACCCCAGCCCAGCCCGGGTAGCTCACAGCTCCTGAGATCACCCACATGGAGCACACCCAGGCCACCCCCCAGGCCAGTGACCCCTGTAAGGTCCTAGACAGAAACCGGGCCAGCTCCAGAGGTCAGAGGCAAAAACCCACATCCTCAACCAGGGCCCCACGGAGGAGCAAGTGGGAAAGGAACGGATGGCTCCATTTGATCACGTGGGGGGGGCTTTCAGATCCTTTGGGTCCTAAAGGGCCCTGTCAATGACTTGCTACCCATCTACGGCATGGAATCTGGGTAACAAACGCCACTCAAGGCACCGAGGGGCCGGTGCGGGATCAAGCGCCTTTCCAGCGGGCCCCAGGCCAGCGTGTGAGAGGGTATGCGGCAGGTCTTTTCTGCTGCCTGGATTTGTGACCAGACTCAGAGCTAGGAAAGCGGGGAGGCTCTTTACCCCGAGTACCACGGCAAGGACACAGTTTGGACGGGACGCACTTGTCTCAGGGCTTACTAAGAGGCGGCGAGGTAACTCTGCTGCATTTAAGCACATGCAGCTGGCTGAGGCGGGGGACAGGAACACAGGTCCCTGGGGTGCTGGGGTGCCGCCCCTCTTCCTTGTTCTCCCTGGAGCTGGATCTGCTCGTGTGCGGTTGGAACAGGGAGTGGGGAAGGGCAGAGGGAGCGTGGGACAGAGGCACAGAGCAGACACCCTCGGGGCACCCGCAGGAGACTCCTGTGGGTCAGGTGGACACAGTAGAAGGTTCTCCTAGGAAGGAGGCCTGCTGGGAAGGAGACCCACAGGCTGTAGGTTGTGGGTGCAGGTTGGGGTGCAGCTGAGTGGGGGTGTCAGGCCCTGAACTGAGAATGAGCTCCCCCATCAAAGCACATTGGTTTGGGGTAACCCGGCAGCAAGCCCACCAGAGCATTGGCATCCTCATCATGCCAGGCTCTGTCACAGCTGAAACGGATTTGCCCCAATCTCCACTTCCCCGTCTGTGTAAAAGGGGCCAGGCATGCCCCTCGCTGCTCTCCTGGGCCAAATCCAGGCCCTGCAGGGGAAGAGAAAGGGTTAATGTATGTTTCTGTTTTTGTTTTAGATAGGGTCTTGCTATGCAGTTCAGGCTGGCCTTGAACTTACTATGTAGCCCAGGCTGGCCCCGAACTTGTGGTGACTCTCCTGCCTCAGCTTCCTGAGTGGTGGGATTACAGGTGTGCACCACCGTGCCCAACATAGGAAAGAGTTAGCGTTAAATTGGCCGGACCAGCCTATGAGGAGCTGGATCATTAATGAGTTACAGCGACAGGAACGTTAGGTCTGCCCAAGATGTTGTTAAAGCACAGAAAGGAGAATCACTATCACTCAATCAGAAGCAATGATTGGAGAAAACAAAAAGAATCCATTTGTGCCCTAGTATTCACTCAATAAGCAGCTTACCCGTATAACCCTGGCGAGAAAATATCTTGTTGCTGAAATGTAGTAGGGCAGTTTCACCTCAAAACAATGTGCTATTATGACAGCTCACGATTCTGCTAGAAAATCAAACAGGACACGCTGAAAAGAGCTTGTCTTTGCTCTGTAAGGTCCTGACTTTGACCAAGATGACTGCAGTGCTGAAAGTTGGGAGCACTTGGAGTTGGCTAGGCCTCTCCCTCTCCCTCTCCTAGAGAGGGTCTTGACACTTTTCTGCTCAATACATAAGCTCTCTGTTCCGCCCCTTGGGTCTGGGTGGCGAGTCTGCTTTTCAACGGAACACAGCAGAAGGAACCCTCCCGTGGTCCTGACCCCACTGAAGGGCACTGGTGCTTCTGCCTCAGTGTCCTGGAGCTGCCGTGTCAGAGTCAGCTATCCTGAAGTCACCATGTTGGAAGGAAGCCCAGGCTGACTCTATGGAGAGGAAGAGAGGAAGAGAGAGAGAGGGAGACAGGGAGAGAGGGAGAGAGGGAGAGGGAGAGAGGGGAAGGGAAGGGGAGGAGGGAGAGGGAGGAGGAGGGGAGAGA